CCGCCAGGCGCAGCCCCGAGCGCGGGAACATATGCAGTCCTTACGCTCGAGTTGGCCTTGAAACTCTCACAGCGAGTGGCGCTGAAACCCAAGCTTATACAATGCCAAATGAAAAGGCCAGAAGTAGAATACCTGGACCGCCGAAGAAAGCTACTGGGTTCGTGTCACCACCGAGGGATGCAATGTGACTCGCCCCATTTATTCCTCCACTGACTTATCGTCCAAATACTCCAACTCCCGTGTCGTCATTGCCCAACCCTTCTGATTCACCACACAGACCAAGAGGACCAGTGTGTAGCCGTAAGCGCCGGGCACATCGCGCTGTTTTACAAAGCAAATGGTCGAATTGTGTGGAGAAAGCCTTCAGCATCGCAGACGCGTTTGGCCTCTATGGTCTTTTTGGCTGTGCAGTTCTCTTCTCATGTTGAAGGTGCAATTGTCGGGTTTGATGCAGCAAACGGACGTTCTCTTTGGCATCCACGACTCGTGGTACAACCCTGACTCATCCTCTTCCTTCCGGCCGGACAGGACTTGTCGCAGGAACTTCGCACCAGTGAGGATATTGTAAGTGCCAGCAGCGAATATCGACGGACAGCCATGCCCACGTGTCAGGTTCCTTGCGTCCTCGAACGATACTCTGTGGGACAGTAGCAAAGCTCTGCCTGGAAGCTGGAGGGGAACATGATTAAGATGCTGGCGTCATCCAGGCAGTCAGCTTCGGTAAGAAGGCCGTCGACGTGCAGAAGTGTTCGAGCATGAAGAGAATGCGGGATGAAATGAAATGAAACTTGACAGGGCGCACGACGGAGTGTTTGCAGAGGCGCTGTAAGGATTGTACCTCCTGTTCTTACAGCAAACGAGTAACAGGCGGTATGGACAGATTGCCTTGTCCATGGGAAATGCAGTCGACGTCCACGCTGTTTCGAAGCGACGGTGATCTGATACAGGATTAGCCAAAGAACAAACTATCGGCAGACGCAATGTTGAATGATGAGCAATCTGGAGTTGTGGATCACCGGATGAGGGGTAGGCCAAACGGTAACAGCAAGTTTTGCAGGAGAAGAGAAGTTGCAAAGAGTAGCAGTTTGACCGGCAAAAAAGCTGAGGGCGAAGATCGCAGAGCAGACCTAACAGAAGAGGGAAAATAAGAAATGGAAGCCGCGTTGGAGAACAGGTTCATGAATAGAGGAAAGCGAATGACATTTCAGCGCCACTCGCTGTGAGAGTTTCAAGGCCAACTCGAGCGTAAGGACTGCATATGTTCCCGCGCTCGGGGCTGCGCCTGGCGGAAGCATGC